GTGTGTGTGTGTGTGTGTGTGTGTGTGTGTGTGTGTGTGTGTGTGCGTGTGTATTTGTATGTGTATGTGCATTTGTGTGTTACAGAGTTAATGAACTGCTGTGTGTTTATGTGTACTACTCTGTATGTGTGTGTAGAGCATTTCTAATTATAATGCATTGTGGTTGGGTTTGTGTGTGTAATTGAGTACATGTTTACATAGATATCCATGCAACACTGGGATTTCTATTTGTGTATGCCTGTGTCGTTGAGAGGACCCATTTTAGCTTTCCATTTTATGCCACTTTATGTTGTTACTACACACTTGAATTATAAATATCATACCGTACTCCACTCTACATTTTACTTAATAATTTTTTACTGCTTCTGTTACTTTAGTTACTTTGTAGATGGTATAAAGACAGAACCTCAATATATATGAATTAAACTGCGCTGCAGAATGGCTACTTTGCATTTACATGACTTTTACCTTCAGCAGAACGTTTTTACACAGCAGCATCATTAAAACTTTGACTCTTCTGGGAATGCATGATATCATAAGTACAGCATGTTTGTTGCTTGGGCCATTATATCTGTGTCATCTGGGTGGGATGGCAATCTGGCAGAGCAACACACGCATATGCAAGCTCAAGCATAGTGTAAAGATATTCACTTACTCTACAGACAAATACACAACAACCACATAGTACAAATACCAAAGCCTAAAACCGCACACAAAGAAATAAAGTCTGCTTATTTCTTTGAGAGACTGCTTGCTAACAGTTTTCAGCTCCAAAGGGACACACCCATATCCTGCTCTAAGTCACATTCACTTTATGTAATTCTGTACGTGGCAGAGCTGATGCAGTAGGATGTTTTGAACTTTACTATGTTGGAACCTCCAGCTAAAACCGAGAACACAGCTGTCTGTTGCCCTCAACACTTTCAGCTGTCATTATATTATCACATATCACAAGCCTCAAAGCTAATCTCCTCTGTGACCTAAGCAATGTCATGCTATATGTACGCAATGTTATTAATGAAGTAGGATTTTTGGGTTACCAGTCAGGCAGGGGTTGACACAGAAGTCACATATGTCTTTTATGTTTCATGTAAAACCTTTTTTACTCTGTGCCACACTGATCCATTTCCATAAAAGTCATAACACTGTGTAAAAAGGAATTAAAAGCACAGTGCAATGATCTCTTAGTCATTTGATGCAGATTGTTAACTGAACATGTTAAATGCAGAAATGTTGATTTGATTTGATTTGAAAACAGATGGTACATCCCAGAAATAATTGGAATTGTTGCCAACAGGTGAGTAACACTAGCATCAAAGAGTGTTTCAGAAGTAAGGGTGGGAGGAGGTTAAGCAATGTGTGAGGAACTGTGCAGCCAAATAGTTGTATGTATGATATATAAAATCTAGAAGAATTAAAGGAAAGCTTGTTAAAGGATAATCCAATGAAATCCCCTTGTGAGAAGGGTATGAGGCTGGAAACCGGTACTGAAAGGCTTCAGCACGGCATTAAAATCAGACACACGCTCAGGAACACTTGTGAAAACAAAACGTGTGCGCACAAATGTAAGTTAAAGCTCTGCCATGCATTGCATATAAATGACATTTGTGGCCCATGGACTGATTTGAATGTCACATCCATCGGGCCAGAGATGAGTGACACCATTCACCTTGTGATCCATGGAGCACCAGCATATAAACAGTTTGAAAATGGTCTGCCTGTTTTAATTTTTATCCTAAGATATACTTTAGTGAATAAGTAGCATTTTTGTGCCTTTTTCAAATTGTGAAACCCGGATGAGATCACTAACTCCACTGCCTAAAACGTTTTATACCAGCGGTCCTCAATCCCCGGTAACGGTCCGTGAGTCGTTTGGTACCGGGCCGCGAGAGTTGAGGGTCAGGTGTGAAATTTGTGGTTTTCAGATTTTTCCTCATTACTCGGTCTCCCTGGGTCTTTTCCCGTGTTGTAGTTGTGTCTTATTTTGAAATAAATGTTTACGCGTTGCCATAGCGACCAGAGAGCATTAAGGGACAGAGAGGACGACGTCACTCTCAGTGTTGTTGGCGCATTTCAGGAGGACGCTGCTAATAAAGTAACACAATTACACAGTGAATTTGCGTTTATTATTATATTTACAAAATACCACAGTTTTTGTCTTGGTCGTATCATTTTATTTTGTTGTATTCATCCGTGACACCTTAAAGGCCGGTCCGTGAAAATATTGTTTGACGTTAAACCGGTCCGTGGCGCAAGAAAGATTGGGGCCGGTGTTTTATACAACAGAATGGGAGTGGAAACAGGAAATAAACAGGGATCTTGTTAAAGCGTTGTGTTTGTCGACACCAACTTCATACTATATGTGTTTATACTAAACCATAAACCTCTGGTCCTGCAGCATAATTCCCACGGCTGCTACAGATGAGCTTTGGGGTTGGCTGAAATGACTCATGTTGTTATTTTTCCTGCTGATTTCTGATTCATCCTTTTCTTACCCTGAAGGTCTTCCAGTTGATGTCCAGTCTTTAAGCCACCTGAGCTTCAATTTATGCAGGTGGTGTGAGGTATCCACGCCGGTGTGCGAAGGCAACATATGCTCCAGCAACTGCAACTTGAGCTCTTTCTGCAACACCACTGAAGAGATCTGCATGGCCATATGGTGAGACCCTTTTTGAGTAACTTATATTCCTATAATTTGTTTTGTCTGTCTTCTGTGGGGAAACTTACAGAGCCTATGACCTAACCTGTATATAGGTAACTACATGAGAAAATAGACACATGGTAGTTTTTACCTTTCTCAGTTTGATGTTTTCTAGCTGACTGTTTTGTTATTTGTTTAATACAGCACACCCTGAAGCCTCTAACATCCATAGAAATGCTATAAAATGACCATGCCCACATTGTTATTCTTCAGCACTGTCCTATGAGTCTGCAGATAAGAGAACAGTAGAGCCGAGCTGGTTCAATATGGTGTCGATCAGTATTATGAAACATCCTGAAGTGATTTCTCTCAGCGTGCTACTGTTGGACTTAAATGAAAACACACACAGTCTCACACGCACGAACGCAAACAAAACATGTGACCACAGTTTGGCCTTTTTCATAGTTGTTGGTTAATTTTTCTATTAGAGAGAATCTCTGTAGCTTCAAAACTTCACGCCAGCTTTCTGCTGCTGCTTTCTTCATGACTGGAAAGTTTTTGCTGATTGGTAGTTTTGTTTGGATAGCAGTCCTACACTGTGATCCCCTCACTACACCCCCCCCCCCCTCTCATTTCCTGTGCACGTGAGCCAGCCTGACCCTCCCAGCTCTCTGAAGGAAACCAGCAATAGAGAACTGACAGAAGAAAAGAGGAGAAGAAAATTGGTTTATTCAGGGCAAATATACACAGTCTGTAGACTCTCTGTCAGGAACACGGTGTTTGTGTGAACTCCACTTCACTGGTGTCATCTTTGCATCAATGGTGCAAAGATTCAAAACTCTGTTTACTCACGTACTGTAGCTCAGTGAAGGTTTGAGGTAATTTTATTTTCTGCTTTACTCTTTGATGTGTTTATTGGATGAAGATGAAAAAATACTACCAAAAATGGTCAAAAGCAACAACAAACAAACAACCCTACAGATTGTTGAACAGCTGGCTTGTGAGCAGACTTTGGGATGAGCTTAGAGATTGCTTTTATTAACATTATTAATAATGCAGTAGCCAGTAGCCAGTATTCTATTATTCTCTTGTATTGTAAAAAAGACCCCGGACTCAGGCCTCTTCAAGCGTTAGTTTATAGAAAACTACAAGACATGAGAACATCACCATGTAGCTGTGGTCTTGTACAAGCCCAAATCGGGTGTAATAAACAAATCAGTGATTCTCTGAAATGATTGTTTTTCAAAAGAAAAAAATGTTATAGTATAATAGCTTTAATAAAATTAGCTTAGATGCAAATTAACATTCCAGGAGTTAGTCTGTATGTTCTCCCTGTGCTCATGTAGTTTCCTAGCTTCCTTTCACAGTCCAAAGACATGTATATTAGGTTAACTGGTGATTGTAAGTTGTACATCGATGTTAGTTTGAATATTGTCTGTCTCTCTGAATTAGCCCAGCAGCAAACTCTCAACTCATCCTGGGTGTACTATACCTTTTGCCAGCTGGAAAACGCCCCAGCCCTGGCTGAACTGGATAAGTGGAGGAAGATGGGGTGCATTTTCTTTTTGGACAGTTACACATTAACATATTTAACAGCAGGGGTAATAGAAGGGCTGAACTTCCATCCACTTTCTTCTGCTTGTCCAGTCCATAGTGAGAGGGACTGGGTACATCCTCAACAGGTTGCTGGTCTGCAAGTCTCCTTGCTAGTCTCATGACTGTCCTCAGTCAGTGCTGTCTTGATGACTGTATAAATGGATTCAAAGATAAATGTATGAATGTAATAAATGGCAGAGCACAGAGCAGTGTTGACCTTCAGCTTTGTGATGCAATCCGTGGCTGTTCACAAGCCAAGTGGGCATGAAGTCTAAATCTGCTGAGCGTCAGGCTGGAGAGATGATGTCTCATCTCTCTCACATCAGCAGGATGTAAACTCCTCTTTAAGTAAAGCCAGTCACATGCATTACTTTCTAATGTTTCTAATTTTTTTGTCTGCTCTTCCAGGAGGAAGGCAAACAACACAATGACAGTGTACACAATGTGTCACCACCCAAATCTGCCACTGGATGGTATCAGTCCTGACCTGCTGCAGACCTTCACTTCCAGGGAGTGTCGTATGGTCCCACAGGCTGCAAATGACTCCATGATGGTCTGTGGATGTCAGGGTGAACATGAATGTAACGACAAACTTGTCTTCGACAAGGGAGCAAATGGTGAAGAGAAGGAGGAACGAGGGAGTGTGGGAAAGAATAAATGCATGAAAAGATAAATATGTGAATATAATGAAATCCAGCTAGGTGGATGAATCGATAAAACAATGAACAGGTAGCTAAATCAGTGGTTAACTGATAAAATCCTCTGTTCCTGCAGGATTCTTACCGCTCCAAAGTAAGGATGTGATCCCTGTGGTAGTGGTTAGTTTGGTGCCCCCTATTCTGGTGGCCATAGTTGCCATTGCTGCCTTCTATTTCTACCGCATACGTCGTCCTGACAAACCAGCTCCGTCAGTATGCCCTGACTGGCCCACTAAACGCACCCCAGAGCTTTACCAGGCCTTGGATCTACCATGTGGGGGGCTGGGTGCTCAGGGAGAAGGTGGAGGAGGAGGTGTGACTGATGCTGAACAGGATGAGTCGAACACCAAGGTTCAACCTCTTAACAGTGACACTATCAGTGGTATGACCAGTTGGCAGGGCCAGCCAGCTGAACTGCTACCTATCAAACTGGATGTGCTGGTGGGGAAGGGGCGCTTTGCCGAAGTGTGGAGGGGATGGCTGCTCCAGGGCGAGAAAGGTGGAGTTAATAGCTATGAAACTGTGGCGGTGAAGGTGTTTCCGGATGTGGAGTACGCCTCATGGAGAAATGAATGCTCCATCTTTGCTGACCCCAAGCTACAGCACGATAATGTGATTCAGTTCTTAGCAGCTGAGGAAAGGGGCCTGTCGGGCCACACCCCACACACCTACTGGCTGGTTTTAGCCTATCACAGCCTAGGAAATCTGCAGGACTTCCTCACAGCTAACATATTGAGCTGGGAAGAACTTGTTGCCATGGCAGGCAGCATTGCTAAAGGATTAGCTCACCTTCATAGTGACACAACACCCAGTGGGCTACCAAAGGTAAATTTAACCTATCATCTTCTAAGATTTATTATTATTGATGGTCCCAACGAAGAGCTGAAGGGAATCCACCATGAAGTTTAGATTCAGTTCAATTCCATTTGTATAGCACCAAATAATAACAACAGTAGTCTCAAGATGCTTCAAAGGGAAAGGGAATGAGCCAGAATTTTAAACGAATTACTAACAATTAAACTACAATAGTGGTATCAAACACCGAAGCTGAAGACCCTATCTCCCATAGGAACCACAAGTAAGCCCACAGTCTGGGATAATATGTTGCTATAAGGTCTTTAAGATATTATTGAGCATGATTGTTCTAGAAAGAAATATAACTTCTGAAAATAATCAAATTAATTATTAGTCATCAAGTATTAACTTTGATTTTAGTACATTGCATGGATGAATTTTGAGTTGCATGGCTTTGATTAAATAAGTTGCAGTTATTCAAGGATTTGAACGCCAGCAATGAAATGTTTGTATGCTTTGTATGTTTATGAATTACCCCCTTTTTACATTACAAAGGTTTCAATGCCATTTACTAACTTCTAAAGCAGATTTAATGGAACAAATGCTGGCTGAGAGATTGCATTTACAAAGAAGCTGGTTAAAACTAGACTTGCTTAAGTGAAGCTTTGGCTCTATACGCACACCTACAGTCATTCATGAAATGCCAGATCAGATTTCTAACTTAGTCCTGACCACCGCACAGTACACTTAACCCACACTGGATACATATATGACTCAGGGTGATTATAGTGGTTATTATGCCAAAGGGAAGTGTGGCTAAAATCATTTGTTTACAACTCAGATAAACAACGGTAAAAAGTATACTTCGTCTTGGTTAGCCAAACACAAGGCCTATGCTCTTTAGCTTCTTCTTCTCTTTTTTTTCAATCTTTGCTCTACAGCTTCTTCCTAATATCCAAACTTAAGGACACAAGTGTATATTCTTGCATTGCCAGGTAGTAGACTGCTGTATCTATGTCAGTAAATTAACAACACATAATTCCCTGAACTCATAGAGGATGATAAGGTGCCCTTGTCAGACCAAGGCCTAGGCATATAATGCAATTTAATTACTGTTTCCTCCAGGTTCACATAGATTTGGACAAAGCCATTTAAATTGACAAATGCTGGCCAAGAAAACTCTACCAGCATATTTTAAATCAATGCTGCCTATTGTGAATGAAATCATGCATTGTTTGAAACCTCAAAGCCTCATGATTCATTGTATGGATGTGGACCATGATACAGATACCACAGCAGCAATATTTTCACAAAACAGATTTATCTCTATCTGATATGAATATATATGAATCTCTAGGATTGATTTTGGGCACAGTTTTTGGCTCCTTGCTGAAGTTGTTGTTTTGAGCATTGCTTGTTTTTGTAGGTACCAGTGGCCCATCGGGACCTCAAGAGCAGTAACATCCTGGTAAAGAGCAGGAAAGAGTGCACACTGTGTGACTTTGGTCTGGCTTTAAGACTGGACCTGTCCCTTACAGTTGATGACTATGCCAACAGTGGACAGGTAATCTGTGCATATCTGTGCAGTTTGTGTTTGAATATTTTTATTAAATACACCCATGACCCAAACTATTATGCCTACCTGTCTGATGTGCTGTTTGCATGGCACCAAAAAAAGAGTTTATCATTCTGTCTAGGTGGGGACAGCTCGCTACATGGCTCCTGAGGTCCTTGAGTCCAGGGTGAACCTGGAGGATCTCGAGGCCTTTAAACAGATGGATGTTTATTCCATGGCTCTAGTGTTGTGGGAGATGGCCTCTCGATGCAATGCAATTGGAGGTATGTGTTCTTTTCTGTGTTTCTGTAGATCAAGAGAACAAATCCTTCATAGAGAGGACCTGCCACCCCATGTTTTTCACAGTTTAGGTTAAGGCCCAAGACCATACAAAGATGTGATGCCAGTCATTGTGCAATCCTATGTTAAAAAAAGAAGGAGATGATCAATCAGAGTCCAAAAGGAGGCTATGACCACAGAAGTAAACTAAATGTGTTCTGCTGTGCTTACCACAAGGAGGGAAAAAAGTAAAAGAAAACAAAACAGATTCAGTATGCAACCTTTGACTTACTGATATCCAACATATGGAGACTTCCTTTATGAATGAAGAGGTGGAGTTAGTTTAGTTTTTTGGAGCCTGTTTGTATGTTTGCTTTGACTGGAAGTGAACCAAAACCAAAGTCTCTGACTTTCTCCAGTTGCTTCACGGCATAGCACCCCCTGGCTGTAATGCTCAGCCTGCTTCCTGCACTTTCTTTGTTTAAAACTGATCTTGCGTGGCCCAAAGTGCTTTCCTTGCCTACAGCTTGTGTGGTTGATATAGTTAGCATATGTAATATGATACACAAATATAATGACATGTAATCTTTCTAAATCTGTAGGGTAAAAGTGCTTAATTCTGCTTTGCTTTCCACTGTTTTTTTCAAATGGGGAAAGACTAGATCTCTGTCTTATCAAAAAAAAGGGAAAAAAAAGAAAAAAAGAGGTGACGTGGGACAGATGTTCTTAGTTTTTTGCATTTGTCCAAAACCTCTTTGCACTCTTCACTGTTCTTTAGAGCTTAGCACAAAAACGGCGTGTTGACGTGTGCATAAAAGTGAAATGATGGCTACTGTCCCCGGAACTTGATTTAAGCATGACCTCCGGTTGAAGACTGAAATTTCGATCTTGGAAGTTTGCTCCAAAGTGTGGGGGGAGTGGTGCAGCTGAACTAAAGGTAGTCCCTGTGACAACAGCTGCAAGTTCAGTTACAGGTCAGACAACTCCCATTGCAGAAAAAAAGGTTTATGATAAATGTGTGTGTGTGTGTGTGTGTGTGTGTGTGTGTGTGTGTGTGTGTGTGTGTGTGTG